TAACTTGTTCATGTTGTTGAGTGTTTGAGTTAGAACCGATTTCAAACTGACCTTTGGGATTACTAACAGGCTGGCTAGGAAACTTACCTTTCTCCCTCTCACTTAATGCATTTGCAAGTTGACCCATTTGTACTTCTAATTTAGCAATTGATTGTGAGTTTGAGTATAAACTCTGTTAGGTGTCTTTTTTGAAATTGAATTGAATTTGCATAAAAATATTATAGGTATCCTCTAAAGTCGGTTTCCTAGGTTCTGGAGGATGGAATGGTTGAGCATTGCCAGCTCGAGGAAATGGTTGAGGTTTTAGGTTCACAGTTGGACCTCCCTGGTGTTGACCTTGCGAATAAGATAAATTCGGATGTCTAGCCCACCCTGGGTTATAAGATTTTGAATAAGGGTTGTTACCAAGTCTCCTATAGGAATTTAAAGCGTTGGCTTGCTCAGAAAAATATTCGGGATACGAAGAAGTACAAAAATTTGTTGGATGGGAAGGATTAAAACAAATAACACACACTTCATGTTGGTGCGTCATGGGTGACCCACCACTTACCATAAAAGCCTCAAATTTTTGTGCTAAATTATCAATCTTTGCTGATAAATCAGGAATGGTCCCTACATTTTTCACTTCATAAACACCACCCTTCTTAGATGGTTGAGGAGTATTTTCTACCCTACTGGTGTAATCCGATTGTTGAGAATTTTTAGATAATGTTTCAAAGAAACTCCACGCTTCATCCTCATCCTTAGTTAAAACAGACCCACCACTAGTACAATCAACAATTCGACGATTTTGGGGTGTCAAGCCATCATAAAAGTAGTTCATTTGTTGCCATTTTTTAAAGTTATGATGTGGGCATCGAAGAAGTAACTCTTTAAATCTCTCCCAACACTCATAAAAATGATGTTCACCCTCTTTTTGTGTAAAATTTGTAATTTCACTACGAAGGGCGCTAGTTCTATGGACAGGAAAGAATTTACTTAAAAACTTTTGCAACAATTGATCCCAAGTGGTTATAGAACCTACTTCTAAAAAAATTCAACCATAATTTCGCCTTATCCTTGAGAGAAAAGCGAAATAGGCGTAAACGAACTGAATCATCTGAAATTTTTTGAAATTTGAAGGTAGAGCAGATGTCAGTAAATTCCTTGGCATGGAGATATGGGTCTTCCCTATCTAATCCATAGAAAGTTGGAAAAAGTTGGATGACTCCTGGTTTAAGCTCAAAGTAGGCTGCAGTAGTTGCAGGTAACACTATACACGAAAGTACATTAAATTGGATAGGGGATGAATAGTCCCTAAGAGATTTTGGTTTCTCCTCATCCATTTCGTTAAATATGGAACACTCACAACAAAAGTTGAATCTAATATGTCCGTAGAACCTAGACTCACTAGTCGACCAGTAGAATCACGTGTCCAATGGAGCATAAACTAATCTATTCTATAATAAAATAAATGTAACTCTAAGGATATTTCTAATATGATGCGCACACAAAGCAAAATCAAACACAAAATAATCCACACAATAAGTTTGACTTAATATTCGTGTGTAAGATTAAATTTTTAATTTTACTGTGGGGCTTCACAGAATTCTGAAATATTGCCCAAATATATAAAAACTGCCCCTACTATTAAGAAACCACACACCTTAGTTCTTGCACCTTTTCAAATGCCGTCACACCCCTGGTATATGATCTCCCTTAAATTTACGCACCTCAGTTCTTGTACCTTTTCAGGTACCGTTACACCCCTAGTGTATAAAAGTCAAGAGTTTTCCTATTGAGCGGGACAAAATCCTGTCTAGCAAATATCCTTAAGGCTGGTCAAGTGAATTCAAATTTCTACTAAAATAAAACAACTAATTAATAATAAACACAAACACCACAACCAAGCAAACAAACACAAATAATAACCGCGTGCAGATGTGGTGTTCAGAAAAATTACCTCTGGCTCACTACTTGCGGGTAGATTTTTGCCAGGTGGAGATTACCACGTGCAAGCTCAAGTGACCTGTAGTTTGTTTGTTTGATGAGGTTTTTTTTTTAAACC